CCAAAAAAAAAAAAAATGCACAGAGAAAAGAGTAGCCAGGTAGATGACTCAGAGGCCTGCTATGTAGGGGCTGGGCCACTGATGCCAAGAGGACCCTGGGTGCGCTGGGCAGTTGAAAAGAAATCTGTCCTCTTCCCAATCCATGGACCGTGGGGGAGGGGGAGGGACAGACAAGGCACGAGTCAGTCTCAGACGCAAGCACTTGTGATGTACACATTCCGACGTGGACTTCACCTCAGTACTAGGACTCAGCAGCTTGAGTAGCTAGCATAACCCCCGGTAGAAAGTGACCTCCTCGCTCCCCTCGCTCTCTCCCACCCCCGCGCAGCCTCTAGGGTCATTCTAAACCTCTCACCTCATAAAAGGAGGTCAGTAGCCTCCTCACTCATTCCCCAGAATTCCCTCTGCCCTTTCAGAAGTCTTTCCTGTCTACACATCTGACTGCATCCTGTGGAGCTGAAGCACGCCTCCCTCAGCGCCCCTGGCTCCGCAGGCCACTCCCAGGCTCTAGGGTGCTGCACAAAGGCTCTGCCCTTTCAGCTTCCCCTCCCCACTCTGCTCCACGCTCCCTGAATGCCTGGCTGCTCCGGCTCCCTGCCCGGCAAGCCTGTCCCTTCCACCGTGAATGTGAATGTCCCTCCACTTGGTGAATGCAAGCCCTTGTCTCCCAGCCCACTTCAGTGCCCCCCCCGGTTTTGGGGCCACTCCTCAGAGCTGCAACAGTATCACCAACCCTTGTGGCCCAGGGCATCTGGGGGAGCTGGCACACAGTATCTAAGCATGTAGCTCACAGCGGGCTTGAAAAGGAAATCAAAGAGCCCACAGATAGCACCATCTGAGAGAGGAACTTTACAATGCGCCTTTCTCGTCTAAGCTCTTCTCGGGCCTGTGACTGACACAAGGCACTGCACCAGCAGTCCTATTGAGAGACAGAGGTTCCCTCTCGCCTTCTCGTGGAGTCCAACAGGAGTGACAGGTCATGGTTGGGCTTTTTTTATGAGCTATGCGTGACAACCAGCTGATTAATCCAGCCTTGTAATAGCAGCCGGTTCACACCAGCCTGTGCTGGTGTCATTCAGGGCCAAGAGAAACGCTGGCTCTCACCTTCCCTTACTAAGGGCCAGGAGGTGGTGACCCGGCTGAAGAATGTGCTTTGCTTGGGGTTCGCATTCCAGGATCAGCTTGGGAGGCCAAGGGCTTGGGCCGCCAGGAGGAGCCAGGCACAGGGCAAGAAGGCAGCAATGCGCAGACCTTCATCCCACCTCCTTGTCTGGTCACTCCCAGCCTCTGTGAATGGACACAGGAAGAAGACACTCACCCCCTTCCTGGGGAGCAGTGCTCACACGGAGAGTGAAGTGACCAGGCCCTGAGTCATAGCACCCATGGCCATAAACACCTACTGTCCACAAAGCATGTCCACTTTCAGGGTCTCCTTTGACCAGTTAGGAGCTGGCGGCTAAGGAGACTGGGACACCTGCCCGAGGTCATGTGGCCAGCAAGCAGCAGAGCCGATACTTGCTATAATCCCCGCCTCATCCACGTCCACAACCCAGGCCCCAGTGACCTGCGGTCAGTGAAGAACCAATAAAGCTGTAGATGTGTGAGTACTGACAACCATAAAGATGAGGGGTTTTATTGACTTGTACACAATCTCAGCCCATCAGGGATCTCGGGTGACCATAGCAATGATGCCCGGGGGGCAGTTGGTGGAAAGGCCTTGGAAACTCCGGGGCCCAATGGAGGGACCCATGAAACCTTTTACAGCCACCATAAGCGAGGCCCACTCACCTACACATTTCCCAAGCCTGCAAGAATGGGCATTACACAACCTCTGAGATCAGGAGAAGGACACCGGGAAGGGGGGCAGAAAAAGAGGAAGGTCTTTTTGTTCTGCCATTAACAGTGGGGTAAGAGCTCTTTTCTAAGATACTAACTACAAGCTCCGGGCTTTAGACAACACAAGCATTCACCCACCCCACTTCCCGACACCCAGAGTGTCTTTGTTCTGGAGTTGAAAGACCATTCCTGGGGATATTTAAGAAATCCTTCCTCTCGTCTCTCTGGTCATCTCTCTCTCTCTCTCTCTGTCCTACGGCAAAGAGCTCCAGTGCTGGGCAGTTCCAGTGACCATCCCCTAGCTCAGAGTTTGTCTCCGCGGTCCTTCCTATGGACCACCTCAGCGGCAGCTCAGGCATCTGACCAGTTTCTTGCCCTCCATCCCCTCCATTCTCAGGTGAGTCCCTCCCACAGCTGGGAGACAGGACTCGGGAAGCCCCGAGGCGTGCAGATTGAGAGGGAGCCATCGGTCTGACAGCTTCATATCGTTCTGTCCTGCAGCAAGCCCACAAGGTAGGCAGCAGGCACATTTCCTATCAGTAAACTAGGACATAAAGCAGCTCGGCCTACTAGAAATTCTGGGAAAACTAGGAATCCTCTGCAAGCCAAAGAATGTCGACGCATGCCATTCCTGGTGCTACTTGCCGGCTTGGTGACTTGGAAGTGGCAGTCACTTACTTTTTCTGTGTCTTGTTTTCCTCATCTGTGCAGTGAGGAGATTTGAATTCACTAGGACCGGTCACCTAAGTGACAGTGGCCAGCACACTGCGTTGGCTGCAGGAAAGCACATGATTCTTTTCTATGGAGTTGCAGACAGGTGAGACGAACTCAGTCACTGGCAGAGCCTGGAGCCCAGTTGGCCAGACTCCTGAGCCAAAACATCATGCAGCCTGTGGGGGAGCCAGGAGTGGGGCTCCTCAATGCCCCCTGGTGAGGGAATCAGGTACCAAGCAGGCAAAAGAAGAGGAGTAAGACAAGAAGAGATTTCTAATGTGTCAGTGCTTGGATACTGCGGAGGATTTCAACACACGCGAGGTGAGACTTGAGTTGCTTTATTCAGATCCCTCCTTGTCAAAAAGGAGCCCCTCCCAGTAGAGAAAGTCCTTGGCCGTGGCCGCTTTGCTGGTTGGAGGGAGGAGTAGAGCTGGACCTCAGGACTCCTGGTTCCTGTCCCTCTGTGCATAGCATCCTCACCTCTCCAGCCAGAGACGGGGTGAGCTCTCTGGCGTGGTTTCTTTTCCGTAGACTGCCCGCTGGGGTGTTGGCTGTGAGAGACATCAAAGTGTCCCATGTAACTGAGATCTTGAGGGCTGACTTCAATGTTTTGGCACAAAATTCTCCAAACTCCTGGCAAGACTTACTAGAATTTAGACTTTTCACAGTTCATTGATTCGGTCTTGTACATCCAGAGCTGGTGCCACAAGGCCATGCCACAGTCAGGTACACAAGCCTGACGTCACATGGGCAGGTTTTACCTCCCAGCTCTACTACTTCTAGCTGGATGAGCAAGTGTTAGATCAGTATACCTATTGCCGTGGTTGTTCCGTGTATATTTGTTGAATGAAGCGAGAATGAATGGTATAAGCCAACTTCAGTGTGTAGACACAGCGTTGGGCATCCCCAGAACCGTGCTAGGCTTCATTTGGTCAGAAGAGGGCAGCGTTGAGCCAGACAGGGCAACTCACTGAAGTCTACTGTGATTTACATCCCTCTGGATTTTCACCTTGACTGGGAAAGCCCATTTTAACAAGCAGGTTCCTATCCAGGCTCTCCCAGCTGGGAAATGGGCAAAGTCAACACCTTCCAGGCTGTGCTGTCCACAGGGTGTGGGTGTAGGACTGTAATTCATCCTCTGCCTTCTGGGGAAAGGCAATTTGATGGTTGAGGTCTCCGGCTGGAATTAGGTGGCCAGCTGAGCCTTCTCTTTTCCCCCAGGGAAGGGGCCACTGGGCTCAGACATCTATACTAAAAGAATTCCAAGGGAGGAGATACTCTAGGGTCCTGGGGACCTTCCAGAGCAGTGATGGCGGACCTGCTAACCAGGGGCCCAAACTGCAACCCCAAACTCAGTTATTTACCACAAAGTGCCAACACTGCAGTTAAACCTGAAAGCTCTGGCAGGGCTGAGGCGACGTGGATCGAGTGCCCATAGAGGGCTGTGCGTGCCATTAGCTTTGCCACTATGGTTCCAGAGCCACCAGACAGCATGCTCTCCGTCATCCCCTATCTTACCCTCACCCCACCTCCCTATCCCATCGCCAAAGGCTACTCTCAACTCAC